TTTAATCGTAGGGTCACCAAAGGAGGAGATGGGAAGAATCCTGAAATCCATCTCCACGAAGAGTTTGGGGTTCGGGTTTTTAAAGGGTTCTCCAGTAGGCTGGAGTGAGGATCATTGGTTGGATGAAGAGTGCAGGGTGAAGTCGCGGGACAGGGAGATGAAGAAGCTGTGTTCTCATGCAGATCCCATTTCTCTGGGGATCTTCAAACTGGTTGCTGGAGGTAGGGATCTGAAAAAACATTGTAAGCAATCCTTAAACAAAAACTTGATGATTCTAATGTCAGAGATCTTGCCTGTAGGAACAATGGAGATGCACATCAGTTCTTACATAGTCTTATGACCCAAATGTCAGAAATCCTATCTGTAGGGACAGTGGGGATGCAAATGGTCAGTACCTAGTGTTCAGGGACTTTTAGCAACAAGGATATGGGGCAAATTGCCCCCTAATTAGTGCTTAATTATAATTTCTGTCCAGAACTTGGCAGGTACTTCTTGTCAGCCCGTCGGAGGCAGTTTCACTATCATGTGCCTTACTCTGTGATTCTGTTTTTCTCTTTTTGGTTGAGGGCAGAAACCCCTTCAGAAACTGAAAGCCAAAAATTGCGCTTCCTAGAAAAATGTATATAGAAATTTTGTGTGTGGTTTCCTGAATTTTATAGTTCTGTACTTATTTAGTGATTTGCCTGGCCACTTTTGACTTGAGAACATCACTTTAAGTTCTGAGTTTTTGTTGCAAGGATAAAGTGATATTATACATGTGAAACACCAGTAGAAAGCTTGGCACATTTTTGTCTTTGCAGTTACCTAAAGCAGGCCAGTCATTTCAGGGTCCCCAGACTTAGTGCTCTTATGAACTCTCTTCACTCACAGAACTCCCCCTCCTTACCTTATACTCTTGCTTCAAGATGCCTCCTCTTTTAGTCTGTTTTGTGATGCTGTAACAGAATACTGCAGACTGGGTAATTATAATGAACAGAAATTGTTTCGGCTCATGGTTCTGGAGGCTCGGAAGTCCAGTATCAAGGCACCAGCGTCTGACAAGGGTCATCCCATCGTGGAAAGTGGGAGGACAAGAGTAAGCAAGAGAGAGTCAAACTTGCTTTTATAACAAACTCACTCCTTTTTTTTTTTTTTTTT